ATCTAAGAATAGTCCTAAATTCCGATTTTATCGCCCTGAACCTGAAATGCCAAAAAACGAGCAACGGTCATGGCGAACCGATGACTATTGTTCATTTGGTCATTTTTTATAGGCCTGCAAAATTTTAGGCAATTCGGAGTCGGTCACCCAAATTCATGCATATGACATTGATTATAGCCCATGAAAATTTGGGAATCGTCCTGAATTTCTATTTTTTGGTACTAAAATGTCAAATAACGATGAACAGTTATAGCAAAGCAATGACTATAGTTTATTATGTAGTTTTTTATGGGCCCGCAAAATTTTATGCGATTCAGAGACGGTCGCCTGAATTTATGCAGATGGCGTGTACTATAGCACACAAAAATCTGGAAATCGTCCTGAATTTCTTTTTTTTTTTTGCCCTAAAATGTCAATAAACGAGGAACGGTCATGGCGAAGATATGACTATTTTCATTAGGTTGTTTTTTCATGGGTCCACAAAATTTCAGGCTATTCGGAACTGGTCACCCGAATCCATGCAAATGACGTGGACTATAGCACACAAAAATTTGAGAATCGTCCTGATTTCTTATTTTATGGCCTTAAAATGCCAAAAAAGAGGAACGGTCTGAGCATGCGATGATCCTTGTTCATAAGAATATTTTTTATAGGCCCATAAAATTTTAGGCTACTCGGATTCAGTCGCCTGAATTCATGCAGATGGCGGGGATTATATCATACGAAACTATGAGAATCGTCCTGAATTTCTATTTTTTTGGACCTAAAACGCAAAAACGGGGAATGGACAAGGCGAAGCATGACTATTGTTCATTAAGTCTTCTTTATGGGCCCGTAAAATTTTAGGCGATTCAGAGCCGGTTGCCCAAATTCATGGAGATGGCATGGACTATAGTCCATATATTGGCATGACCGTTCCTCATTTATTGGTATTTTAGGGCCCTAAAATAGGAATTTATGATGATTTTTAATTTTTTCGTGTGCTAATGTCCACATTATCTTCATGAATTCGGGCGACGGATTCCGAATCGTCTAAAATTTTGTGGACCAATCATAAACGACCCAATGAAGAATAGTCAGTGCTTCGCCATGATCAATCCTTTTTTTATATTTTAGGGCAGTAATATAGGATTCATGAAATTTTTTAATTTTTCGGGTACTAATGTCCATGCTATTTTCATTAATTCGAGCGGCGGGCTCCGAGTCGCGTTAAATTTTGTGGGCCAAAATGACCTACTGAACAATAATCATCGCGTCTCCATGACCGTTCATTATTTTTTGGTGTTTTAGGGTCATAAAATAGGAATTCAAGAAGATTTCTAATTTTTCGTGTGCTAATGTCCATGCCATCTTCATGAATTAGGGCGACGGGTTAGGAATCTCCTAAAATTTCTTGGGCCCATCAGAAACGACCTAATGAAAAATGGGCATCGCTTTGCTATGAGTGTTCCTCATTTTTTGGCAACTTAAGGCTATAAAATAGGAATTGAGGATAATTTTTAATTTTTCATGCGCTAATGTCCACGTCATTTTCATGAATTCGGGTGACGGGCTCCGAATCGTATAAAAATATCCACGTCATTTATTGTTTCTCCATAATTGTTCCTTATTTTTTGGTATTTTAGAACCATAAAATAGGAATTCAAGACGATTTTTATTTTTTCATGTGTTAATGTCCATGTCATCTTTATGAATTTGGTTGACAGTCTCCGAATCGCCTTAAATTTTGTGACCCATCAGAAACTACCTAATAAACATCAATCATCACTTCGCCATGACATATCCTCATTTTTTGGCGCTTTAGACCATAAAACAGGAATTCAGGATGATTTTAAATTTTTCGTGTGCTATTGTCCACGCCACATTCACGAATTCGGATGACGGGCTACGAATTGCATAAATTTTACAAGCACATTGAAAACCACCTAACGAACAATAGTCATTTCTTCGCCATTATTATTCCTCATTTTTGGCATTTTAGGGCCACATAACAGGAATTTAAGACGATTACATATTTTTTGTGTGCTAATGTCCACGTCATATTCACGAATTCGGGCGACGAGCTCCGAATCGCCTAAAATTTTGTGAGCTTGTCGCAACCCACCTAATAAACAATAGTCATTGCTTCTCCATAACTGTTCCTCATTTTTTGGCGTTTTAGGGCCATAAAATAGAAATTTAGGACGATTTCATATTTTTGTGTGTTAATGTCTACGCCATCTTCATGGATTCGGGGCATGGGCTTTGAATCGTCTAAACATTTTATGAGCCCATCAGAAATGACTTAATGAACAATAGTCATTTTTTCGCTATATCCATTCCTCGTTTTTGGATTTTTAGGGCCATAAAATAGGAATTCACGACGATTTTTAATTTTTCGTATGCTAATAATGTCCATGCTATTTTCATGTATTTGGGCGACAGACTCTGAATCGCCTAAAATTTTAAAGGTCCATCAGAAACGACCTAATAAACAATAGTTATCGCTTCGCCATGACCTATCCTCATTTTTTAGCGTTTTAAGACCATACATTAGGAATTCAGGACGATTTTTAATTTTTCGTGTATTAATGTCCACGCCATCTTCAAGAATTCGGGCAACGGGCTTCGAATCGCCTAAATTTTTTTGGACCCATCAGAAACGACCTAATGAACCATTGTCATTGCGTAGCCATGAATATTCTTTATTTTTTGGCATTTTAGAGCCATAATATAAGAATTCAAGACGATTTTCAATTTTTCGTATGCTCATGTCCAGGCCATTTTCATGAATTTGGGCGACAAGCTCCGATTCGCCTAAAATTTTGTGGTCCCATCAGAAACGGCCTAATGAACAATAGTCATTGCTTTGCCATGAACGTTCATAATTTTTTGGCATTTTAGGCTATAAAACAAAAATTCAAGATGGTTTTCAATTTTTCGTGTGCTAATATCCATGCCATCTTCATGAATTCGAGCGATGGGCTCCGAATCACCCAAAAGTTTGTGGACCCATAAAAAAACTACCTAATGAACAATAGTCATTAGTTTTCCATGACCATTCCTCATTTTTTGGTATTTTAGGACCATAAACAGGAATTCATGACAATTTCTCATTTTTCGTATGCTAATGTTCATACCATCTTCATGAATTGGGGCGACGAGCTCTGAATCGTCTAAAATTTTGTGGGCCCATAAAATATGACACAATAAATAATAGTCATTTCCTCTCCACGATCGTTCCTCATTTTTGGCATTTTAGGGCAATAAAATAGGAATTCATGATGATTTTCAATTTTTCGTATGTTAATGTCCCCGCCATCTTCATGAATTCAGACGACGGCTCAGAATCGCCTAAAATTTTATGGGCTCATTAGAAATGACCTAATGAACAATAGCCATCGTTTCGCCATAGCGTTCCTCATTTTTTGGCGCTTTAGGACCATAAATTAGGAATTTAGGACGATTTTTAATTTTTCGTGTGCTAATTTCCACGCCTATCTTCATGAATTCGGGGGCGGGCTCTGAATCGTCTAAAATTTCTTCGGTCCATCAGAAAAGACCTAATGAACAATAGTCATTTCTTTGCCACGACCATCCTTATTTTTGGTATTTTAGGACCATAAAATAGGAATTCAGGACGATTTCATATTTTTCGTATCTAGTCCATGCGTTCTTCATGAATTCAGGCGACGGGCTCCGAATCATCTAAAATTTTGTGGGCCTATCAGAAATGACCTAATGAACAATATTCATTACTTTGCCATGACCGTTCTTCATTTTTTCGCATTTTAAGGCCATAAAATAGGAATTCAGGATGATTTTCAATTTTTCCTATACTAATGTCCATGCCATCTTCATGAGTTCGGGCGATGGACTCTGAATTGCCTAAAATTTTGTGAGCCTATCAAAGATGGCATAATGAACAATAGTCATTGTTTCACGATGATTGTTCCTCATATTTGCCGTTTTAGGATCATAAAACAAGAATTCAGGACGATTTTTAATTTTTGTGTGCTAATGTCCACGTCATCTTCATGAATTCGGGCGACAGGCTCCGAATCACCTGAATTTTGTGGGGCCGTCAGAATCACCTAAAATTTTGGCGTTTTAGGGCCATAAAATAGGAATTCACAATATTTTCTAAATTTTCGTGTGCTAGTGTCCATGTCATCTTTGTGAATTCGGACGACGGGCTCTAAATCGGCTTTAAATGTGTAGTTGAAATTTCAGGTCAAGTGAAAGGGATATTTATGTATTTTTCCTAAAGACAAACCCTTGTTTATTTTTCTTTAGGTACTTCAAAGATAGGATTAATGTGCTTTGAAACTACAATATGCCTTGGCCATGCATATTATGGATTTATATGAGTGCTCAATAGTCAATATAATATACAAATTTATAAAGGAGAAGAAATTGTGAGTAAAGCTCCAACTGAGCTAAATCCAGATCTCCATTAATGGAGTCTGTGACACAGCAATGTCGTGAGAGGAGTTAGCAACAAACAGAGAAGAAGGGAAGAAGAGAAACTGTTTCTATTATTCTGAAAAAAATTATTGAATAAATAACAGTACAAGACTATATATAGCCACATTCCTAATCATCACTTAATTAAGCTAAGAACCTTAACTAGTGGCAACTAACTCCGACAAATGTAACAACTGGCTAACCGTCTCCTAAACACATTTAACTATTCTCACAGAAATATACCATAAGACAAGAAGTTAGACAACAATAATTATTACGATCTCAGGTAAAATAACATAGCATGAAACAACTATAAAAAATTTACTTTGTCCCCCCTACCCACCCCGGATAGTACAATGTTGACTAGTGTGCTTTGGTGTAACCGTGGGGCTGGAACCAAAGAAAGACTGTACTCGGCGTCACACAGCTATCTCGAGCTCATTGAACACTAACTTTCTTCTTTGCTTTTCTAATCGTCGAAATTATCTCTCTAAAAAAAAAGTCAAATTTAAAAAAGAAAATGAAAAGAAAGGTTTCTAACACCTGCAAAGTCCTTATCTTTCTTGTTCTTGAAAGATCAACTTGGAAGCTGACACTGAGCTGCCAAGTCCAAGGTCAGTTACATTACTCTTTCTTGAATGGAACTTCTGTTGTTGAGAATTTTTACAGTGAGCAATTGCAGCCTGAATTGGGTTCTCATCTTCAACCTCTGAATAATACACATTTCTGCTTCTCATTAACAAATTATGCACATCTTGATTAATCCCATTTGAATTGTTTGAGGAGCCAGAAGAAGTAGAAGAAGAAGATTTAGATGATAAGAATCTTTTAATAGCTCCTGAGAATGATGACTTTCTTTGATTTAATGCACCTTTATTATGAATAATTTTCCCAAATATTTCATTCTTGGCTACTAATTTAACACTATTATTAATCAAACACTTGAGATAACCTTTGGAAGACTTAACTTTTGAATCAAATGAGAAGTTCTTGATAAGCCTAAGCTTTCTTGAAGTCCACTTTGATTTTCTTGAACTAATTTCATCATCTGTTGAATAGCCAAAGAAGTAATCTTCTTGATTATTGAGTTCCCTACTAACATGACAAGATTGGGAAAATGGGGTGTTAAAAGAATGTTCAAGATCATCAAAACTTTTGCTAATATGAAGAGATTTTTTTTTGCTTGGATTGTGAAGGATATTCTCAAGCATTTGTAAACGAAAAGGGAGGTGAAGTGGGAGGAGTTTTCCATTGTAAAAGAGCTCATCAGCTGTAGATATTGAATTATTAGTGACCTTACTATCAATAAAATTACTAGGCAACATTTGGAATTCAAATTCTGATGATCTTGCTGCTTGTGGTGGAGAGTTGGTTTTGAAATGGAATAAAGAAATGGTGGAATTTGATGAACTAATTACCTCCAATTCTATGTAATCTTCTTCTGCATTATTTTGTGCATCTTCCATTGTACATCACACTTTTTCTCTCACTCTCACTCTGTGTGTGTGTGTGTGGGAGTTGGAAGTACTTGAGTTTTAAGAGGCAAATGAAGGAGAAGGGGACCATTTTAAAGATGAGCAAGATTACACCGGTTAGAATTCACTCGTAGTGTAAATTTTTTTTTTTAGGTTGTTAGTGTATGTAAGTTAAATTCAAAAAAATAAGACAACATCGACAACAATATATTCAAGAATTTTCGATATATATAATTCATCTCATGATATAAAAGGGTCTTGTTCCTTGGTCATATAAACGTGTATACTTTTGTTAATCTATATACATCAATAATGTAAATGATTTTAACGCGATCACATCATATTGTATCGGATAATCTATTTTCAAGATTACAAATCTCACTTTTTATGAAAGATTACTTATAAATATTTTTCATGCTAAATATTATGTAAATTTTATTTTAACAATATCAAAAACCTCGTGCTCGAATCTTTGGTTCTTTTATTAAATGGAGATATACTAAGATCGAATAACAATTCTACTGTTTTTGTTTAAGGCTCATTTCGAACACTGTTACTGATATGATAAAGAGTATGGAGTTATTTACTTTCTGGACCTACGTATTAAAAAGCTCTTTAACAATTCAAGGTGGCTGAACAGAAAACATTTAGAACAGATTAATACACCATCAAAATATTACTAGACCCCCACCCAACACATTACTTTTTTCCTAGAGGGAATTAAGTCCAGCCTACGGACAATGACATAATTAGCTCATCTGTATAGTTAATTTCCAAGTTGAAACTTAACTAACTCATTAATGATATCTTCAAGACGTTATTTAAGCGGGGTAGATGTTTTTTTTTAAAAGAAAATTAATTTTATTAATAAATCTTTGTGGAACAGTTTTATTTGTTCCCTTGATTCTTCTTCCGAATTATTCTCCGTGATTCGAGGTTGGATCAACATATTTCTTAAGTATAGGATGATTCGAACCTCCTTAGAATATATTTGATCTTCACGAAAATTGAGCGATGTGTGGATCTTCTTATATCAAGAAATATTCAGCCGCACTCTAAATTGATCTCAAGGAAGAATGATCGGAATTGAGAATTTGATGTCTTGATCTCTTTGTGAAATTTCCAAGAGTACGAAATTTTCGAGTTGTGGTGCAGATTGAACTCTGTGATGATTCTGAACCAATTGTTGCTAACACACATCACATTTAACCAAATTTGAAATTTAAGCTGTTTCAAATCCTACTGCTATGGCCTGGTGTACGTGTCCGATGTACCACAACAAACACAGTATTTAGCTTTATAAAAGGGTCACTATTATAAAATAAAAACTATAAAAGAAACAAACTGAAAACAAGTTGATCACGTCCAACTATGCCTTATAAAAAGGACTAAGCGGCCGTTGTAAATATAATCCGGTTTACAAGTCTGGAATCGAATCCCACAGAGAACTAAGGCATAGCTACAGTTGTTCAATATTGCAAAGAAACACAGATTCAAAAAATTTTCTAGTTATAAAGATTTGATTTTTATTTCTACTAATTAACTAGCAAATATTATAAAGCAGTAAAATTATCAACTAACATGGATGAAATTCTAGACAAGACTAAGGAGGTCTAGAGTTATGATTTCCCCAATTGTCGGAATCTTTACCGCTACATTTCCTATAAATTTGCCTAAGTCTTCTCTACCGATCATGAGCACTCTAATTGTCGTAACTCTCTCCCGAATAATTACCACAATTTACTAGACATATTCTCCCGAATTACGCTAGCTGGTATTAAGTACAACTCACTCAGATCGCACCAAGGTTTCGTTATCCCTGATCCCACCTTTAAACCTCCGTATTGATCCCTCATATACATTTAGGAGTGATGTTGTTCAACAACTACCTAAATATGCACTCTCTCCCGAGTAATACATACTAAATAGGCACAACTAATTGAGGGCCCTTCAATCAACCATAAGAATAATATAGTTGAACAAATAGAGAAAATACTACGGCAAATCTATATTAACGTAACAAGAAAATCATCCTTCAATAGGTTCCATCAAAACCCTAGATTAGGAATTTAGCTACTCATACTCATAGTAACAATATCCCAAATATTTTGCATAATTAAAATACAGAGTAAAGATGAAAAGATGTAGAAATTGATGATTCTCACTCCCAAGGGGTGATTCCACCAGCTCTTCTTGCCTCTGGCTGCCCAAGTCTCCCAAGTGGTATTTTTAGGTCTATTTATATGTGTATAAGAAACCCTAAACGTGTAGGCCAAGTCCTAGTCAAATCCGGAACGAATTAAGTCTTCAAAACTCGGATTGGACATGGCCTCAGGCCTGGCGTCGCCAGCCTAACGCCTGGATTTTGGCTGGCCACGCCAGGCTAAAGCCTGGTTCAGCCTGGCCTCACCAGGTCTCTCTTTTTCACTGTTCTCGAGCACACTTTCAACGTTTAAGTATCCCTTTTGCTATACTTTCATCTCCAATTCACCTACACATAAAATAGANTATCTCCAATTTACCTACACATAAAATAGACTCAATTATGCGCAAATAAAGTATAATTTATCATTAAAGCATATAAAATGCAAGGCACATAATGTATGAAACTATGGAATTATAGCCACACATCAATACCTCACACTTAAACATTGCTCGTCCTCGAGCAATCAAACTACACTTATAGACACAACCTTTTTAAGCAATTCTCCTAACTCATTACACCAAAAAAAATTTAAATAGTTTAAGCACACAAGTGCGATATCCTCGCCTCAAGATTCGACTCACAAATGCCATGCCTTATTCACAATTCACTTACTTACTCTAACATGGATGTCAACAACATTACCTTTCCTTTATGAATCATTTGCCCTCACCCAATCAAATAGCTTAGTTCCACACACAATGAATTTTAAGAACATAGGAACTCAAGATAGACAAAATTCACTCGCTCTCAGAAATAACATTCATATGCCACAAATGATGCACCATAGGCTTGCTCGTAGTGTAATACTCTACTAATCGAGTTCATTCAGTCTAAGATCAAGAAGGACTTTCATTGGTTGTAATGTAGGCTGCGGGTCGGGTATGATACATTTGGATATGAGTGACTACACCTCCCTTAAGCACTTTAATACATATACTTTAACACTCAAGCCCATACTTATGTCAAACCATAACTCCACATTTACCTCAATATATATTAACTCCATATTTCTTTAAGCACAATTACATCAAGAGTCACCACTATCAAGGAATATTTTTCACTGCAATACAACTAGTTTTTCTTTTCTTTCTTTTTCAATTCAAGTGGCTCTTACTTTTTCAAAACAGTGCACCTTTCTCCTTATTTCATTAGTTCCATGCAAAAGCCGAACCAACCACCCCACACTTTAACTTTTACAAAGTTCATAACAATTCAAGTGTACATGAGAGGTGAAAATGTTCAAATATATGGTCGATTAAAACAAAGGGGTACGACTTGTAATGTGGTTACCAAAGAAACAAGATTATAGGCTCAACGGGGTTAACTACGATACATAACATTTAGGTGGATAAACTTTATATATCTGGCTTAACAAAGAAACGCCTATATCACTTCCTAGACTGAAAAATACTACTATTTCGCTTTGCAAACACATGGGGCAAGTTCTAGACATCAAATGCAATGCATAGAATACATACAAAAACTCACACAGACATGGCACATCATTCACTCGGGATTGGTTTCATCGCGACACTCGAGTCAAAGCAGTTAAATAAAATTAGGAATCTACGATTTAAGGTATTTATGCTAGAGTCAAAAACCGAGCCTAAGCGTCACAGCCATAGTACTAACTATTCTCAAAGCATAACAAACCTAAGAGATATCGTTGCAATTCAATTCATCTCACACTAGCTCCTACTCCTAAAAAATAATAAACTAACTATACCCGGTTCAAATAAAATCCTTAAAAAAGAATCACGGTACAAAGAAAAACCAAGGAGGAATTACTACACTACCTAAAAAAAAATATTTTTGGTATTTTTTCTCTAGACTTACTTCCCTCAAGAAAACTGTCTAAGAGATCCATCGTCGGGAAAAGTCCAATTTTTCTGTTTTTTTTTTCTCTAGAAAAAAATAAATTATTCAATTAAACTAACACAACTAAAATAGCATAGAAAGTCGCCCAGACAATCTCCTCACCCCACACTTAAAATTGTGCATTGTCTCCAATGCACACCATAACTAATAAGAAGGTAAAAGAAACTCCCTGGTAGGCTAAAAGCCGAAGCACCAGCAACTCACGGGGTACTCAGACTTCTCCCAGGCTTGGTCCTTCGTGCGGGTACCTCATACTTAGTTCCAACCATCTAGTTTGCTGTTGCATCCTTCCAATAGCTTTGCTTTCCATGCTCCTAGAAAATCAAAAATTGACACTACAAAAATAAAAAAATAAAATAAAAGAAAGCAGTAAAGCTGTGTTGCCTCCCAACAAGCGTTTGATTTAACATCGCGGCACGACGCGAATCACTTTCTGCCTCCACTTTGAACTTATGAATTGGACTCCAAGTTTTGATTCTGCTCTATGATCATGCTCTTGGGGTGGTGGAATGAATCTGACTGGCCCAATAAAATAATGTAGTATTCTGCACTTCTTGGCCTTTAGATGAGATGTATATTCCCGACTTTCTGGCAAGAAGATTTTCAGAATGTAGGCACCTTGTTCCTCATTCCTTGACTCCTCAAGTGGCTCGGATGACTCTATTTCTATATCATCATCCAAACACAATGTGGAAAAATGCTTGTAGTGTGGACCAATGTGCTCAACTACATGAACATTGGGACTGTCTACATCCTCAATACTAATGACACTAGAGTCAACTAAATATGTATCATCAATGTCCTTGCTTGACTCTAGTATCTCTTCTACAACATCGGCATCCTCAAATTCTAGTTTGATTGATTGTTGGTCTTCTACTATGGACCCTTCTATTGGTACCTCAATTTC